TGAATATGATTCTATCCCCGGTGTTATCAAACAAGACTCTAATTAGCCTGTGTTACTCGCTTCATTTCGACTACATTATACATCGTGGTTAATCTAAACCTATTTCACCTAACAACCTATATCAGAAAACAGAACCGAAAGTAAAAATAAATAAAATAAAATAAGTTATATTCAACTCACAGTAAAAATAAGTTATATTCAACTCACAGTAAAAATAATTTATATTCAACTCAGAGCAAAAATAAGTTATATTCAACTCACAGTAAAAATAAGTTATATTCAACTCACAGTAAAAATAAGTTATATTCAACTCACAGTAACTGCAATGAAGTTAATCCCTTCAACGTTTCCTTTGGAAGCTCTGTTATTTTGTTGCCATAGAGAACCCTGAACGAGAAGAAATGCAAGTCGTTCTTGAGAAACATCCTCACTTGCATAAACTAGATTGAGTTCACTTTGTAATCTAATGTTTTAGATGAAACCAGAATGGAGTTCAAGCTTAATTATCAACTTATTCAGATATTTACGTGCTCACAACTACGAATATTAAATTGATCCATATTAAAATATTCAACGATTTTTACTTGAAGTAGTTTCTGGTAATGTTTTTATGCGTATAGAAGAATATATATCAAAATCTAAATTTATATTTTCATTATAAGAAAACAAAAACTGACGTACGTAAAAACAAAATAATAATCACACAAAATATTTTATGTTTTATTAACAAGACACAAAAACAAATGAATGTGGTTAACTGTCACGTTCAACGGTATCCTTACTCCTATCATATGTATAGCGAATCGGGATTTAGATACATAAATAAATATCAATAGTGTAAACAAACAGAGTGATCGACTGAGATATAGAGGTGATAATGTACAAAACATTCCAACTTACAGAGACGTAAGGTGTTTTAAGCCATGAAAGGCGTCTCCGGCAACTTTATCGATCTGGTTGTTACTAAGGTCTCTGAAAGCAACAATTTAGTTTCTCATTAATTAGTCCAGGCAGTTGGTTATTATACATGTTGTTGTTAAAAGCAAGAAGCTCACCATTAAGATCTGTAAACATTCTTGTTCCTTTTCTGTACTTTTATAAAACCTGTAACTTTTGTTCTTCTAACCTAATGAAAGTATTCCGTGTGATATATATTCACGAGTTAACGAGAACTTAAACATCTTTTAAAAATATTTCTGTGGTTAATAGTACTAATAATGTCATACATGAGGTGCTGTTCTAACATGCAAGTTTGACAAAAAAAGTAGTCTGTTTTCATTAATAAGTAAAAAATTCAAGTATTCATGAACAGATTCTTCGTCGAACAGGTACTATTTCAAATGGAGTAACTTCATTTACATTAACAGTGTTTCAAATGGAGTAATTCCAATTACATTGACAGTACTTCAAATGGAGTAACTTCAACTACATTAACAGTATTTCAAGTGGAGTAACTCTAGTTAAATTAACGGTGTTTAAAATGGAGTAAACCTAATTACGTTAACAGTGTTTCAAATGGAGTAATTCCAGTTATATTTTTCATCTACGCCTTATGAAAGCATCTAGGAGAGGAAAAAATGTGCGTGACGTGAAAGCAAATTATAAAGTTTGTACCTAACAGAGATGTTTTATATAAGAAAGTCAAGATATATTAGGCTACTTGTCGGAAGTGGCAGAAATGTAATCTCTCATCTGTTTTACTGATTATCGTGTCAAAAGTACGAAGTCATTGAACAAGGATTTATTACTGAGTGATCCATAAAACTTAAAAGGTTTCGAAATAGCATCTTCGTTACATCATAATGTATTTGATTTCAAATTGTCAGTTTCTTCTCAGAACAAATACTGTAGCTGTAAAGCACTTTGAAAAATAATGATACTGTAACTGTGGTTATTCATCAATTTAAACTTACATTCTTCTTAAACGTGGGTACAAGGCGAATGCTCCAGGTGGCACGTCACTAATTTCGTTGTGTTCCAGTCTCCTAAAACGTAAGTAAAAATATTTTAAGTCAGAGGTAATGAAGTTTTGTAACTTCCTTTATTGTTAGAAAGACAGAAGAGATATTATTTCACAAATACCCAATACGTGGTCTTTGTTCGCTGACGTATTGGACAACGTAATTACAGCAAGGAAGATTTTGTTGGTTTTTATTTCAAACGCAAAGATGTACCATAGGCTATTTATGTTGTTCTCACCTCAAAGAGTGAACCCCGAATTTTAGCCACTAGGGACATCAAGAAATGATCATTTCATTATTTCGTAATTTTATTTGTTTGTTTGTAATTAAGCGCAAAGCTACACAATGGGCTATCTGTACTCTGCCCATCGAAACCCGGATTCTAGCGTTGTAAGTCCGTAGACATACCGCTGTGCCACTAGGGGGGGGGGGGACGTAAGTTTATTAACGATTCGAAAATCATTTCTGATTGGTTTAAGAAATTATAACTAATTTCTGGACGTTTTTTCTAGCAGTGAAAAGGTTTATTGAAATCAAGTGAAGCGTAAGATTCTAAATATTACTGAAACAGTAAAACAAAAAAGGCTATTTTATTAATCGCGCATCAGATTTTTTAAAATCATGATTTGTGCATAATATACTGAGAAAAAAGATTAACAATGGAATTTTATACAATTCTTTATCTTAAAATATAATAAATAAATATGTCCTACAAAAAATATTTTCTTTTCATTTTCCTTTATAAGTAGTTTAACGTAATTTTATTATTTATAACGTAGAAAATATTTTTTAAATTATTATTGAACTTATGAAGATTATTTTAGATTTGTTTGTTTACAGTTTGGATCTAGAACTAACCTAAATCTGCTAAGTTTGTCAAGTCTCGTGAAATACTATTGGGATTCCGTCGAAGATTTCGTTAACATTGACGATTCCCAAGTTGGACTCCCCAGTGGCACAATGGTGTCTCTTCGGACTTACAACTCTAGAAACCGGGTTTCGATACCCGTGGTAGGCAGAGCACAAATAGCCTATTGTGTAGTTTGAGCTTAATTACAAACAAATCCCATGTTAATTCAGAGTATTATGATTTAGAAACTTAAGTAATTTTAGTTAGTTTTTACACGGGATCGTCTCCTTAGTATATATTACTGTTAAAAATTTTCTAGTTCTGATCTTTAGTTAGCTTACTTTCGATCAGAAGTTCAGAATAAATATATTTTACATTAAAATGAAATCATAATATGTAAAGCGTTAATTAGAATACTGAATACGTTTAATAGACGCTCTTTAACATACCAAATTTACACGTTTTGGTTTCATAAAATAATGTATTCAAGGGCATATGTAAATGTCTGGGATACTTATTAGCCGAGTGTTTGACTATTTTGCTTGTTCGTTGTTAAGCATAAAGCTACATAAGGGGCTATCTGTGCTCTGCCCACCGTGGGTAGCGAAGCCGCATTTTTCGCGTTATAAGCTCTCCGACTTACTGCTGAGCCACTGAGAGCGTGTTTGAGTAAGATAAATATATATACACACACACGTGGGTCAACACCCTGTAGCATAAAAGCAGTATATATATTAATAATCTACAGATTTGGGCCCACCAAATTCTCTTATTTTTATTGTGTAGCGCACTCGCACGGGATTTTCACTAATGCCTAATAAAAGTTTTTCAACCAAGTGTGGGAAAGTTTACTTTAAACATGAACGAATGTTTAGGATAAGATGCACAAAGAACAAAATATAATATTATTTAATTCTCCGCGAGTTTATTTTGAATCCAGTAATATTAGTCACTGCAAGTAACAGTGTAGGTAGGACAACGGATGTTGATTGTACGGAGTTTCAAACTGTAATAGAACGACGTCATGTTTCGCTCGAGCTATAAACTTCTTATAGTTTAGTGGTTTGCAACTTTTTTATATTAAAGTAACCTTTAAACTGACCTTTGACTATTTGAGTACTCCACTCTATGGTATTTCTAGTACGCTTAACAAAATTACCCATAACACTGTCACGTGTCTGTTCACTTACACTCCTCTCTGTCTCTATTTTTGTTGTTATTATTAACCGATGAATCATTAAATTTAATTGCAGCAAATATCAGTAACATAATGTT